TAGTATAGTCTGTTATTTCAAAATACCTAGATATTTAATAATTTTTATTATTTAATTTATCAAAGTTTTAAGTTACCAAAGATTTTGTTAAACTATGTTTAGTCATATATAATTATCACTGAAAAATATTTTTTACCATATAATTGTTCATTTTAATTTTATATATTTTGCCTTAGCAACTTTGAGATCTTAAAGCCAATTATTATTACCCAAGGTATTTTCCTTGGCAAATTATGTAACAGAGATAACTCACTGGCTTTCAGTGGCTTTAATGTTAACATTTTATTTTATTTTATTTTTCTTTATAAAAACAGGAGTGCCCCCTGGGACCTGGGAGGCAACCTTGGAATGCGGTTCATTATTATTCAAGAACTGCCCATTATCATGGAAACATTAATCTTGTTTTACAAACCCAGCCTGTATATTTTCCTTGTGTCATTTTTATCATCTTTTGAAGAAAACCAGTCTTGGGCTTACTCCATAGCATCCATCAAGAGATGGGGCTTAGGCCAAGAGACCCCCCAAAATCAAGTGGAGCACCTTTCTCTTAAACTAGCTTTTTCTCTTCATGGGTATAGAAGTCCCAGATGGCATCCCTAAATTGTGAGAAATGGCTCATCCAAATTTCAAATGATGGACTGGGAAATAAAAACATGGCAAAATGAGACTTAATAACACTCCTGAGAGCGGGTGTCCATTTTACAGGATCACAATAAAGGCCATGGGCAAGAGACCTACTAATTAATGGGCTGGGGCCTTTTTAGTCCCCTCTGCCTCCCCTATGTCTAGGGGAATTTCCTAAGACCTGTGTTATTGGCCACATATACCACTTATATTCTCTCTCCCTACCCCCACATCCTGTTTGCTCTGGGGAAATTCAGTAATGGCCTGGCAACCTACTGTTTCTTTTCTATGAAGATAAGTTAAAGGCATGCTTAATAGACTAACAATAAACAAATTAAACCAAACAAAAGAGACAGATAAAATAACAATCAACAGACAGGCATGCATAACACATAGATAAGACTTAATAAATCAGAGTTCTTTTAATGGATCTTTCAGGTGTTCTACATTGCCTAGGACTTAGAGCCATATGTGGCCCAGGTATTAGCCTGTTGTTCACAGATCTTATCATATTCTGCTCTTCATGGCATTGACTGGCATCACTTTAGCTAAAATCTGCCTGTCCCAAAGCATCATATGGTAATATTCAGACAAACATTAAGGAGTTTTTTTGTAAAAGGACTGTTAGCCCTATTTTCTTTAGTTCATGAGCCTTCCCACACTAGATGTGGAGGATCAGGGGCCTTAGTTGTTACAGACTTTTGATCCCCAATATGAAGTGGGCATAATGCAGTTTGAACAAGAGCCCACATAGTTAAAGATGACAAGGGCACTCATTTTCCTTGAGTCTTATTTAAGAGAGTACATTTTGACACCTTAATATCTTTATTTTTGAGCATGCAAGCTAAAAATGTACAAGGATGTTTTTGCCTTTACTTGAATTCTTCCCCATTAAAACCTGGCTGATTAAAAATGTCCCCATTCACTTACAGTTGCAACTTCAAAGCAGGCAGGGGCTTTGTGCATGATGAACTTCCACCTTTCTGCTGAATTTCTACTTTTCCGTTTTCACTTGGTTTTTTTCTCAGGCGAATCTTCTCCTCCAGTCCCTGTTTGGATGCCACATGCTGCAAACTTTGCAGAGGGGATCAGGATCTGAAGGAGGGGCCAACGCACAAATGAAAATGTTATACAAGAAATATGAATTTAAAAGGCATTGGGGGCCAGGTGGAGACCTCTTTTCTGAAGAGGCACACCGAGACCTCTGGCCTGGTCTGCTTTTTATTTATTCAAATACACATATGCCCTCTACTAATGCATATAGGCAGATCAAAGGTAAAATTTGGTAAACAAATGTAAAGTTTACCAGGTCAGGAAATCACCTTGAGCCATTGCAATCCACTCATAGGCAGCAAAATTTCAGACATCTCTCCTAGCAATTTTTTACAGATACATCTCCTAGGACAATGGAAACTAAGCAGAAATGGGACTACATCAAAATAAAAAGCTTCCACACTGAAAAATAAACCATCAACAAAATAACAAGAGAGCCCACTACAAGGGAGAATATGTTTTCCAGTGGTAGATCCGATGAGGGATTAATCTCCAAAATGTATAAGGAATTCATATAACTTAACAAGAGGAAGATAAAAACCCCATTAAAAAATAAGCAAATGAGCTAAATAGACACTTCTCAAAAGTGGACATAGGAAAGCCAACAGGCATATGAAAAAAATTTTCAATGTCACTAATCATCCAAGAGATGCAAATCAAAAAAACAATGAGGTATAACCTACCAGATGTCAAAATGGCTGTTGTCAACAAATCAACAAATGACATGTGCTGGTGGGGATGTGGAAAAAAGGGAACCCTCATACACTGCTGGTGGGAATGCAGATTGGTTCAGCCTCTGTGGAAAACAGTATGGAGTTTCCTCAAAAAGTTGAAATGGAACTCCCATTTGAACTCCCTAGTAACTCCACTTCTAGGAATATATCCCAAGAAGTCAGAAACACCAATCAGAAAGGATATATATACTTCTATGTTCATAGTAGCACAATTTACAATAGCTAAGATTTGGAAACAGCCCAAGTGCCCATCAGCAGTTATGTGGATAAAGAAACACTAGTACATGTACACAATGGAATACTATGGGGCAGTAAAAAATTCTTTCTTACCATTTGCAACAGCATGAATGAACCTGGAGAGCATTATGCTAAGTGAAATAAGCCAGTCAAAGTTAAGTGTCTCATTATCTCACTTATATGTGGAATCTAATGAACAAAATAAGCTGACGGGAAAAAAAACAGACACAGAGACATGGAAGCATTGAACAGACTGTCAAACTTCAGAGGGAAGGCAGGGGACAGTGGGCAGGTGGGACGAGATCAACCAATGAAATTGTGTGTATATATGCTTAATCCATGGACACCTACAATAGCATAGGTGTTGCTATGGGGTGGGGTAGGGTAGGGGAGGGCTGTAAGACATCAAAGGGTGACAAGTAATACTTTTAACAAAGTTTTTTTTTAAAGGAAAGAAACACTTTATAAAGTATATGGTTGTCAATACACCATGCTATATATATGAAAGTAAAACCAAATCACATTGAATATAAACTATAATTGAAAATTTTTTCATACAAACCATGTTCTGATAGAGCAGTCTTTTCTTTTATTCCAGGGAGATGAAGACCTTCAGCATCACACTTCAAACCTGAAGATTTTGTCTATTAAAAAAGACCTTTCATGCCCTAACTGGTTTGGCTCAGTGGATAGAGCATTGGCCTAGGGACTGAAGGGTCCCAGGTTCGATTCCAGTCAAGGGCATGTACCTTGGTTGCGGGCACATACCCAGTAGGGAGTGTGCAGGAGGCAGTTGATCGATGTTTCTCTCTCATCAATGATTCTAACTCTCTATCCCTCTCCGTTGCTCTCTGTAAAAAATCAATAAAATATATTTTTTTAAAAAGACCTTTCAGAGGCTGAAGGTGACTGAGATGGTGACTAGAAAAGACATTGGAGGGTGTTCAGAGGCTGGAAGAAGGGGTTCCCCTGTGTCTGTGCCATATAAACATCCTTGAAGCAAGAGACAGTTCTCAGCCACCCTTAGCCTCTAAGACTAGCCAACATCATTTTTTTATCCGAACTTTTTATTGCCAAACTATCATGACCTCCCATATTTGTCATAATTATTCCACTGAGGTAAACCACCTGGCCAACCTGCATCTGTGGCCCTCATACACCTAGCTTTCTCTGGGCTTCTGATAAGGGTTAGCTAGCTAGATTAATTAGGCAGACAGGAAGGGGGATGGTCCTGAGAGGATGAAGTTATTCCTGACCTGAGCAACGAAAACATCCATAAACCAGAACAGAGGTATCTCTGGCCTGAGAATTAAAGCAGCCATAATGAAGATCAAAAGCAGCCCTGACCTGAGAAGCTGGGAGAGCCATAAGGGGTAATAAAACATCTCCAGCCAGGACAACTGAGAGAGAGCTATAGGGAAATCAAAAGCAAATCCAACCTGAACAGATAAGATAACCAAAAGGATGAGAAGTGTGGATGTGGTGGTCATAGGAACTGATTACTAGGCTAGGGCTTCAGGGTTGGAAAGACTCAATAAGGGAAAGAGTGGTCTCCTGGATATAGA